TTTAAAGTTACCAGAGATTTCACAGCTGGCATCAGTGTCAGATAAGTCAATGCTTATTCCTGTCTTTTTATTCTTTATTGCTAGTAATGCATCATCTACTTTTCAGATATGAAGTATCCAGAGATAAGGTTTTACAGCTGAGGATATACAGCTCTATATGACTGCAGTTATATGGCAAGGAGACATTTCTGTTCCTTCAATATATGTTATCACAGAATCACAGAATGATCAGAGTTGGAAGGGACCCTTGAGGATCATCTAGTCCAACTCCTGACCCTGCACAGGACATCCCTGACAATCACACCCTGTGCCTGAGAGTATTGGCCAAACACCTCTGGAGCTCTGTCAGCCTTGGGGCTGTGACACTGCCCTGGGAGCTGTTCAGTGCCCAAACACCTCTGGAAGAAGAACAATTTTCTAATATTCAGCCTAAACCTCCTATGATGCAACTTCTGACCATTCCCTTGGGTCCTGTCACTGGTTGCCAGAGAGAAAAAATCACCTGAAAGGAGGGTACAAATGGGAATGCCAGTTATGACAAGAGTCAAAACTATTCTCAATGCCAGATTCTGAGCTACTGTTTGCAAGTCATGGTGTAGGGGTTCAGGAGATTACAGCAGTATGCACCTCCTGAAAAATTCCCTGTGTTTATTTCTAGTGCTGGTAGACCTGTTTCTAGCTGGTCAGAATCTCTGAGTGCCTGTTCACCCACAAGATGGCAGGATGGTTCTGCTCTACTAACAGAACAAATTTCTCTCCAGAGCTCCTTGAGGTACCAAAACCAGGGAAGGACAAGGCAGATATTAAAAGACATTAAATTTCTATGTGAAAGTTATAATTCAGTGACAAGATTACCTTGGTTCTGTTTAGTTTAAGCTGAAAGCATCCAAACTGAATCCTCTATAAGCTTTCTATGGTGAAAGAAGGGACATTTTTACACATGGCAGAGTGTCATTCTGTCGCTCCACTAAGGCAGATTGCCTAGTGTAAAAATTGCCAATTACAAATATGTTTTTGAAAATTTAGGTGCTTTGTTAATCAACGGTACAGAATCACAAAATGACTGAGGATGGAAGGTACCTCTGAAGGTTATCTAGCCAACCCTCCTATCTCAGGATTGCCTAGAACCATGTCCAGGTGGTTTTTTAGTATCTCCAAGGTTGGAGACACCACAACTTCCCTGGGCAACTTGTGCCAGTGCTGGGTCAGCCTCACCATACAAAAAAAAATGTTTTCTGATGTTCAGAAGGAACCTCCTGGTTTTCAGCTTGCACCTGTTGCATCTAGTCCTATCACTGGGCATGAATGAGTAGAGCCTGAATCCATCTTCTTTGTACCCTCCTTTCAGGTGACAGACTTCTCTTCACCAGGCTAAAAAGTCACAGGTCTCTCTGCTTTTCTTCATAGGAGGATGCTGCAATCCCTTCACCAGCCTCATGGCCCTTTGTTGTACTCTGTCCAGTATGTCCATGTCTCTCCTCTACTGAGGAGCCCAGAGCTGAACACAGGACTCCACATGTGGTCTCAGCAGTGCTGATACTGTAATGATGAGTTCACACTACAAATGTGATAACATCTGCAAAAAGGCATCTATTTTAATGCATGTCTCAGATATCTTTACTATCCACCAAGGAATACCTAAAGAAAAGAGACAACTGCAGCATTTTTTGTAGTCATTATTACAGTACATACTCACCCCTTGGCTCTGTAATTGTTCTTTGCCACTCTCTGAATTTGCCCCTTTTCTTTCTGTCCAGGCCATCCTGTTCACTGCTGGCAAACCAAAATAAGAGTTGCCAAGTTTTGCTTAATAGTTTTCCACTTTATTTCTTGGTTGGCCATGAAGCTTGATACAAAAAGGAGTGCCACCACAAGAGTCATTTAGTGAGTTTGTTTTCCACCACCATAAGTACATCTAGCATCTAGCAGTAGGGCAAGAGGGCACAGACTCAAGCTCTGCCAGGGGAGGTTAAGGTTGGATCTCAGGAAGAGATTTTTTCCAGAGAGAGTGCTCAGGCATTGGAATGTGCTGCCCAGGGAGGTGGTGGATTCCCCATCCCTGGAGGTTTTCAAGCTGAGACTGGATGTGGCACTTAGTGCCATGGTCTAGTGACCACGGTAGGGTTGGACTCGATGATCTTTGAGGTCTCTTCCAACCTGGTTGATTCCATGGTTCTGTTCTATGATACAGGCCTGGCTAACAGAAGTTAATGAGACATCACTATGTTCCAGAGCAATTTGTTTCATTGCTGACCCCATACATTTCCCCACTGTACCTTCTCCTCATCCCTTTCCAGCTTCAAAGTTCGTCCTAAACTTTTGGTTTCCAAGATACTGATTTATGATCCTTCCTTCCTCATTAAGTGCCCAGGACTCAAACTGTATTAAAAATTTATCCTGTAATAATCTTGGAAGAGAACATTCTGTCTTGCTCAGAAGCTTCTGTGACAAATCTTCATAGTGTATAGCAACAGGCTTTCCTGCTTTTACACATACCTTAGTGTAAATATTCTTTCTGTGGGAAGACATGGTACTGTAGGAATACACCAAGTCTCTTACACTAACATGAATCAATTTTGTCAAACTGCCACAGAGAGATTAAGATTTATAGAATCATGGAAGCATTGAATCATCAAGGTTGGAGGAGACCTCTAAGGTCATCGAGTCCAACCATTAACCTGTCACTGCTGGAACCCCTAAACCCTAAACCACATCCTCCAGTGTCAGATCCAGACACCTCTTCAACACTTCCAGGGATGGTGACTCCACCACCTCCCTGGGCAATATTCCAGTGCCTGAACACCCTAACAGGGAAAATATTTCTCCTAACATCTGATCTGACTCTCCCCTGTCTCAGTTTATGATCATTCCCTCTAGTCCTCTCCTTGAAGCCATGGCAGGAGAGACCATCCAGAGGGATCTTTAGGAACAGGACCTAACACTGCACACAATCTAATGAGACAATAATAAAGTGCAACATTAAATGTTTTATAGTTGTGGTGTAGTGAATGATGAGTGTATGAACACTTCAAAATGTAACTCATCAGTGAAAAACTGTTTAGTTTGACATAGATCTTTCAATTTAATGTTGACAAAAAATCTATAGATATATTGCATGCACATTTTTCCCACTCCAAATAGCTATCCAATCAGACCCAATTGGATTGCCAATGGAATCCTGGGCTGCATCAAAAGAAGTGTGGGCAGCAGGTCAAAAGAGGTGATTCTTCCCCTCTACTCTGCTCTTGTGAGACCCACCTGGAATACTGCACACAGTTCTGGTGTCCTCAATGTAAGAAGGATATGGAACTGTTGGAGCAAGTGCAGAGGAGGCCACGAAGCTAATAAGAGGACTAGAGCATCTCCCCTGTGAGGGCAGGCTGAGGGAGTTGGGACTGCTCAGCCTGGAGAAAAGAAGACTTTGTGGAGACCTCAGAGCAACTTCTCAATATGTGAAGGGGCTACAAGGAGGCAGAGAGGGACTCTGTGTTAGGAACTGCAGTGACGGGACAAGGGATAATGGATTCAAATTGAAAGAGGGGAAGTTTAGGCTGGATGTGAGAAAAAAGATTTTTCCTGTGAGGGTGGTGAGACACTGTCCCAGGTTGCCCAGGAAGGCTGTGGCTGCCCCAACCCTGGCAGTGTTCACAGCCAGGTTGGATGAGCCTTGAGCAACCTGCTCTGGTGGGAGGTGTCCCTGCCCAGGGCAGGGGTTGGGACTAGATGATCTCCAAGGTCCATTCCAACCCCTAAAATTGTATGATTCTATGATTCTATGATCCATAGCTCTGATGATCCATGTTCAATAAAATCTTACAGTAAAAGGAAAGAACTTGCCTGTTCTGTGATCCTGGATTTGGTAACAATAGTTGTTCTGTATCTGATTTTCACTAAAGTCCATCTGTAGCAAATCTGAAGCTAAAAACAAAGCCTTCTCTGACAGTAGGAAATTTTCTGGTTTTATAAAGCTAAATAGATTAAATTTTTCAGGGATATCTGTACTAGAACACATTTTCTTCATCCTCCCCTGAACTAGTAGGAGATTTGTCTCTAACTTTTGCATCTGAGGATGTTCCCTATCAGAAGAGTGTATAACTAGGAGTGAGGTCAAAGCAGGGGGAAAAAAAGTGGATATTTCCTGTTATAAAAATGCAGCCTCTTTTTACAATAGCTGAAAGGAATGCTCTCAGTCTATAAAAAAAAAAAAACCAACCACATTTTTAAATATTATTTCTATCTGGAGATAATAACAACAGTAACAGCATGATCTATTGTACCTGAAAGATTTAAAACTTCCCTTTTGTGTGAGGTTCATTTTAATATATATAATATTTAAAAATGCATATAAATATGTGTATATATATATATGCAAGTGAACATATATCCCCTTACACTGCAGCTTTTTAATGCTGTATTCACATCAATCTCAAAAGAGCCTTTACTGAGGCATCCATACTAAGAAGAAGTAAAATTTCATGATAGGAGTGTTGCTGTTGAATCAAAAGATAATAAATAACAGAAAAAAAAAAGATAATAAAAGCCCAAGATTGTACCTTCTAGTTGCATAATATACATTATGCTTTCTATTTGCATAACACACATTATACTTTCTAGCCAAATAATACAGAAGGCATTTACATTTTGTCAACTGCATTAGAAAGGTGAAGCAAACCTGCAAGGCATTCAGCTGTTCACAGTCATAGCTTTCTGTTAGTTGTACAGCTATCTATAGAAAAAGTGTAGGTACGTTTAGTTTTCTGCAACCTGCAAAATTCTCCATACAGTCTAGAATGATTTCTTTACAGAACTCTCATGCCAATAAAAACTTCCTTCAGTTCCCTAGGTCTCTTCCATGAAGTTACCTTATTATTGCCCATCTGAAGGACTGAAAAACATTCAGTACACACAGACACACTTCCAGACAGTGAAATCATGTCCCTCCTGAAAGGAAAAAGGCTTGTAGTCCATCCTGATAGGATAGCAGTATTTTTATATACTGTTCACCTGGTGTTGGCTGAGTAGGAAGACTTGAGTGTCCTTGGCATATGGTACCTCACCTGTTTCCAGAACTTAGAATTGGATGACTGTGGGTGCACAGTGTGCTGCTCTTTCCATTTGATGGTACCTTGTTGCTGAATAATAAACCTGAGAGATTCCTGAAGCTTCTCATAAGTGCCAAGGGTCTCCATTTCCAGCAGGATCACCTTTGTGTCGTTTTGAATGAGGGTATTGTATAAAGCAATGTGTTGATCATAAGCATGTTCTTTGCAGTTGATCAGCTGGTGGGTCAGAAGGATGATCAGCCTTCTGCTCTTCTGAATCCTCTTCTCAATGGCACTGGCTGTATCTAGTAATGTACAAGGAAATGATGAGACCCTGGTATTTCTTTTAGAACATTTTGTCTTTGGGCACTACATTTTCATTGCTTTTTAACCAGCAAATAACTTCTGTCTCACTTCAGTCTGGCACAGTTTATTCATTAGAAGAAGAGCTTAACACCCACACCCTTCCCTCCCCCCTCACAAAAAAAGCAAGCAAAAAAATCCAAAAAACAGAGATTACTTTTCGAGTATATTCTTTGTTGAAACACTAATCTTTTCACTGCTCTAAAGAATTGTTATAAATTTCTAGTCCAATGACTATTGTAAACGTTAGTAAAAAACTCATCCAATCTAGTCAAGTTCAGTAGATCTGGACTGCATCAAAGTCATGCTTGATCAACAGTCTCCATGTAAGGAATCAGGTTCGATCAAGTTTAGTGCTTTAGAGACTGATTTTGCAATACTTACCCATGAAAACTAGTCATTTGGAGACTTTTGGGTGACTTGTTTCTAAGAGGCTGATTTAGGGGCAGGGGGAGTGTTAATTCTCCTGAGCTATAGCATTGGGGTGGTATCCACCCTGCAGGGTTGGATCCAGATTTGCAGGGCATACATATGTCAGCACAACTGGTGTTTTCATTTCCCACTGCCATGTTAGGGAGAGCTGATTGATGCAACTGTGACTGTGATTTTGGAGGTGTTGAACCTGGGAACCTCAAGAGCCAGTGTGCTATGGGAGAAACTTCTGGGCCAGCTTGGAAAGCTCCACATCAGGCCTCAAGGAGTGACTTTTCTCAGTGACCTGCTGGCACATCTACGGGAGGAAGGCTGCAGATGAATGTCTGTCCAGTGAAATTCTCCTCCCAGTTATAAGAGGTTCCTTGGAATTAAAGCTGGGGTTGTTTTGGTGGGAGCATATGATGCTGGGCTGAAAGAAAGGAAGTGGGAGCCCAGCTGAGGAAATTCAATGTAACAAACCAACTGATTTTCAGATGTCATCAACCAGCTCCACATGCATCCTCTTTTTCCTTGCTGAGAGCTGCCAGCCCATTGCAAGGGTCTTCTCAGGCTCAGAGAGACCCAGTTTTTTCAGTTCCTTCCTTTTTCAGGAAGAGAACTTTTACAGTGACTTCTCCATTCTCTTCTTGGCTCTGGGATTATTCTGTGAAAACAATTTTCCTTTCTGTGATGTTCACCCATTCAAACTCCTTTCATTATCTTCTTTTTCACTAAATTTTCTGGATAGTAGGAGAACAGATACCTTGGAAGGTGAGAAAAAATGAAGGCAAGCAGCTACTGTTATATGTTTAGTGGCCATAATAACAAGAGTTTTTTTAAAAAGCATCTTTCTCAGTTTTGAGGTGCAGTCCATTGTCCTCAGGACTGAAAGACCATGGACCTGGGGAGATATTCACTTCTCCATTTGCATTTCTGATGCCATACTTGTGGCAAGAGGAATGATGGGGCTGCATGCTGAAAATGCTTTAGCCAAGGAATTCACCACAGCCTGTTCTGTCAATGTGAGAAGTTTATATGAGTTCAGAAAGTAACAGAAAATACTGTGAGAGAAAAATCTATCAGAACTATTACACACAAAAATCCAAGCATCTCAAGTCCAGCTGGAAGAGTACATTAGTGGAAGTATAACATAAGCTTGCCCTGTTCTCAGAGCCTTTTCCAGTCCTTTGCCCATGGTCACTGCTGAAGAAAGGATACTTGGTTACACAGAACATTGCTCCAGTGAAGTACAGTCATTCCTCTGGTATTTGCTCATGGTTTTGTGTATTACCAATACAGTGTTTTGCTAGATTCTGCAGGAAGAAATAAGGATGATAAGACCATGAGAAGAATGGAGTAGAGGTGATGTTGGTGAAAACTCTTGTTTTACTGGGTAGAACTTGCATTTGCACCTCCTCAGGTGACTGTTGGTTGCAGAAAACACCATTATTCAGTAAGACCAGGAAAGAAAAAGAATGCTAGTCTAGGGAAGCATGATGGAAATCCAACAGCTATGCAGTGCTGTTTATTGCTTGAGTCATTCTGTTTAACTTTCCTTTTTACTGGGAGAACACAAATTTCAAGTCACAAAGCTTTGCTCTGAAATCAAGAGTCATAAGTATTTCTTGAAAAAATAATTCCACTTAATAGTCTCACTGAAATTGTTCCATATTTTTCTGGAACTAAATGGAGTTTTACAGTGAAAAACATGATTTATCAAAAACTACGATAAATGTTCATGTAGTGTCACAATAACTCAAAGTGGCATTTCCTGTTTAATTTTGCTTAGCATATTTTAATTGTAAGGGTTTGGATTTGGAAACCTGGTAATGAAATGCTCAAGATGAGAAGATAAACAGGAGTGGGGAGTGTGTGAGTAAAGTCCATCTGCCTGAAAGCAGAGAACATTAAAGTGCTCCCAGTGGCAGGCAGATTCAGACTAGATTTTCCACTCAAATGAAAGCATTTTTTGGGCATCAAAGTGGACAAGAAAGAAAAAAGGTGAAGACTGGGAAAGGCAAAAAGATAAAAGAAGAACAGTGTTCAATACTAGGGACATTTTTAGATTTTATTTTTTTAAAATCAGGCTAAAGAAGTCAAACAAAAGTTATCCACTGACCAAGGCTGGTTTGGTGAGTCTTCTATCAGTGCCTCCTGGGTTACAGGCCTCCATTCACACCTCCACAAAGTGAAAATGGTTTTGTTTTCATCCAGCTTATTAGAGCTTTTTTGAGGTCTGCAGACTTCACCTCAGTTGCATTCCATGCTCAGTTTTCTTCAGAGTTTCCATCCATTAACCACAGTTAGGGAGTAGTAGCCCAGAACAAAATATTTCACTGTCTCTAATTGCCTGAAGAGGTGGTATAAGAGTCATCATTGACAGCTTTGTGAGCTGCTCTGGACAACTTGTTCTGGATCTGGGTATGATTTGAGTCAGCAATTTTTGCAGCTTTTTTAACCTTTGTGTTGTAGTGTCATTTCCCAAGGCCAGGTAGCCTTTTCACAACTCTCCAGAATAGAAGGACATCAAAGATCTCAGTCTCAGCTCTGGGCAAGTGTATGAAAATTGGCCCAATGCAAATGGTTTCAGAAATGTGTAACAGAAAATGTGCCAGCTTAGGCTTCATGCCTTGTTACTGACAGGGAGAGCAGATCTGGTCCACAGAATAACCAGAGCACAAAATAGACAGAATCTAGATGACAGCAACCACAAGAGATAGTGTAGTGGTGTCCATAGGGAAATTAGCACAGATAAATTGATATGACTTCATTCTGAAAGAAAAGGAAGGAGGAATAAAGCATCCCAACTCTTCTGAAATACTGCTGTGAATTGTGTGAAAAGAAATTAGGCCATGACAGTGAATAGAAACTGAACTTCCTGTGACTCTTCACACCCTCGTAACAGGTTGAAAACCCCTGAGTGATAACAGCAATGCTATTTCCTCAACTCAGTTTATGGTTTTCTCCTCTTCTTTGTCTTGTAAACAGACAAACCTACTCACACATGGTTTGGTTGTGGCTTTGCCCAAACAATGGCTCTGCAGAGTTACACTATCCAAAAACCAGGTGTATGTTTAAAAGAGTCACACTTGGGCTCACACTTCCCTCAAATTTTAAGAAGATAAACAATCTGTGGCCCTGCCTTGTAGCTTGGTTTCCTTAGCAAACTGGCAAGCACAGAGTGTCCTTGTGTCACCCAGCCTGAAAGAGCAGACACACAAAGAGCTGCTCAGGAGAGGAGCATCAAGTTCAGGAACGTAAAGTGACCTCCTAAACACCTAAAAGGGACTAGAACCTCAATTTGTTCAAGCTTGACAACTTATTCAGTGCTTTATCAGATCTGAAACTTACCTTCTCCAGGGTATATATCTCGCCCATAAATACACAATTTGTATCCACATTTATTTTCTAGAATATCTGGCATGATTTGGTAAACAAAATATTCCACAAAATTAGCTTCATTGGTGTGGTTTTTGGGATAGATAACATATGCATCATATATCTTCCCATCTGTAAGGCAAAACAAGAGGAAAGTGTATCATATCAGCAG